GGTCGATCGGCAGGCATGAATGTCAGGAAGATAATCCTAGCTATTGAGCAGGCTAGAACGTCGAAGCCTTTCCCACACCCATTAGCTCTTTTATCCCTAGATGCGGAAAAGGCTTTCGACAATGGTTCCATAAAGTACTGCACAAACTAGGCTTTTCAGGTTTATTTCTTAATTTTGTGTCCGCACTATACTCGGCCCCCTCTGCTCAAATATTCACTTCCACGCTGCTCTCAAATCCATTTATATTACAAAAAGGAACTCGCCAAGGCTGCCCCCTTTCACCATTACTTTTTAAATTAGCACTAGAACCCCTCTCCAGATCACTTGCATCCTCTGACACATTTACAGGCCTTCGAATAGGCACTGAGGAGGTTAAAGTAGTGATGTTCGCAGATGACATTATTCTCCTACTCTCACATCCCAGGTCCCAAGTTCCAAAAGTCTTCAACCTCTTAAAACTATTTGGCACATTCTCCGGACTGAAAATCAATATGGAAAAAAAGCGAATTAATCTATCTAAATAATCCCTGCCCTAGCACTGACTCTCAGTGGATTAAACAATTTGGCCTACGCCTACAGTCCCACCACATCACCCACTTGGGTATCCATATCCCCAACCTGTATCCCTTGAATGTTTCGCCTATTATTAAGTCGATAACACAAAGACTTGCAGAAATGGAAAGATCTACCACTCTCCCTCCTGGGAAGAGGTCATCTCATCAGAATGATCAGTTTTCCTCGCCCCTCCTATACCCCATGCAAATTCTGCCAATCCTTTTCCAACACAAAGACATCAAATCACTAACGAACGCCTTCCTTCAATTTCTTTGAAAGGATAAATAATAGCGGAAAGCCGCCCACAAATTATATAAACAGTCTTCACAGTTAGGGATCAACCTACCCAACATAAGACTCTACAATTTAGCATGTCTTTTCAGACATGTGAGGGATTGGCTATTCTGTTCCTCCATATACTCCAACCACACACTGGAACATACAGCTGTTTCCCCGTGGTCCCTATCAGGGGTTTTACACACACCCCTCCTTTCACTTCCTGCGAACATTAGACATAATGTCCTCTTCAGAGACACGATCACCACTTGGAAATAAACACGTAAGCTCCTGGGGATCCCGGGGCATGTATCCCCCCTCATGCCCGTGACGTCTACCCCACATTTCCTGCAAGGAGCATCATCCCAACCATTTAATTTATGGGCGGAGAAGGGGCTATCCCTTTTACAACACTTTCTTACACCTCAGGGCACCTGCATCCCATTTCACACCCTGCAACAAGACTATTCTATTCCTACATCCCACTTACTACACTATTACCAGATCAGCCATTTCATTAAACGTAATCTTCCCCCTTCCAAAGCACGAGCTCCACCTATACCCTTCACTCGTCTTATCCAACCATCCCCCTCAAAACTATCGCTATCCCAGATCCCAGCATTTGTGCAATGGGCCCTCTTCCTGAACCTACATCCGGACGAGGTCCATAATATTCTTCTTAAAAGCTGGCACCAAATTCGTAAAGTCACCACCAGCGAAATATGGAGAGAAATGCATTTTAAATTGATCAACAGGGCCTACTGTGCCTTCAACTTCCAGCCTAGGCCCGTGAACTCGACCATACTAACGATGTGCCCTAAATGCAACGCGCCCAGACCTGACCTAAATCACCTTTTCTGGACCTGCCCACTTATTAAGTACTTTTGGACCAGTACGCTGTCCTATATGTCCTCTATTACTGGCATTACTCCAGCCCAGCATCCGCTGTTCTGCCTATTCCACGACACCGCTACCGCCAATTCCCACACCTAACTGCATTCTCCAAAACTGGATAGCAAAAAACCCACCTTCTCTGTCATACCTAAAACCTGTCCTTTTGAAATTCTTTTCCATGGATTTGCTAGACATATATTCCCAATACACCAACCACAGACACGACATCTCTGATTGGGTGGACCTCATCCACAAGGATCTCTTGGTTAACCACAAATCTGACCTAAACACCTTTATAATAGCCACTACGGGCCGCACACTGACACAATGAGGTGCTTGATTCCCCCCCAACTCAAGGCCTTAGACCTTTTACACCTTTTGTGCTCTGAAGCAATGCCCCCACTCGAGGGTGAGAACTGATATTAAGTAACCTTCAAATTCAGGTATTCTGGTTAAAATTTTGTTTACTGTTTTCTTTTATCTCTCTATGACGAACTCTACCTACTAGACCCCACTCTGGGTTTGAACCCTACCTGCTTTATGACCTTATGACGTGTACCTATGAGTTCTATTAACCTTACTCAATGTATTGTTTCTATTATGTGATAAACATCTTGCATTTAATGTCACAATGCATGTCTGCATTGAAACTGCATCACCTATTTCTATGCATGTTAACTTTTTCAATAAACGCATTTGCTAAAAAATAAATAAATTAAAATCGTACATTAAAACAGAGATGTACAAATCCCAGGAGCTCTGTGTGCTCCTTACAGATGACAGCTGCCTCCTAATTTTTTAAATGTTCTCTAGTCTAGTCTTGGAGCTCAAAAGTATCGATACATGTACTCGTACTTGTACCGAGTACTGTACTTGGTATCTGTGCAACCCTAATTTGCTTTATCAGCATAGTGTGTTTGTTATGCATACGTGTGCAAGTTCATCCTTATTATGTATACTCTGTATACTCTGTACAGAGTACATTAGTACAATACACTGTAACTAATTGTCATTCGCAGGTTACACTGTGTGTGGCCAGATGATAGCCTGCTGCTGTCATTCACAAGTGACCTGTGTGTGGCTTCAGTTTGCTCCTAGCTGTGCTTTTCCTTGCCTGCTGAAGTCTACTGGATACAGATATTTAAATGTAGGTATTTATCTGCCTCAAATAAATTGTCAGAGTCACACAGAACATGTTGATTTGTTTCAATTTTGTGGGTTGCAGTGGCTCAGCACCTCACACAACAGCACTGTAGTGGCACACATTGCCCAAATATCCACAGTTCTCAATAATCCATTTCAACTTAATGCAAACCTGCATGCCAGTTGTATACCTCCTTCCAGCACTCTTGGATCGCTATACAACAGTGCATTTTTTTCTGATTGACCCCTCAGCCATGCTCCGGCAGTTGCTTGATTACAATAGCCAGAAGCAGGAGATCCCTCTATCCACGCTGAATGGTAGAATCAAGCAGTTTTCTCTCCTTCAAAACGATTCAAACACATTAAACGTGTATGGCCAGCTGAACACTCCAACACCGAGATGTCACAGAGCTAAATTCTCAGTACTAAAAACTGGAGATCTAATGTACAGTGTAGGGGTGTAACTAGAAATCACAGGGCCCCATGCATAACCTTATAGATCTCCCAGTATTTACTAGAGGGTTCACCAGTTTGCCTAAATGTATGCAATTATTTTTATTTGCATATGCACATAAGAAAGAAAACAATCTAACTCTAACAGGGTTGTTCACAAAATAGTCAGGAGTTTAAAGAAGGCAGGAGAAGTGAACAATCTAGGCCAAATTAGCTGATTCGGAAAAATTCTCCAATTCAGCTCACTTTCCAGTTCAGCTATGTTGTCCTAGATTGTTCACTTCTCCGGCCTTCTCCAAACTCTTCACCCTTTTGTGAATGACCCTGTAAGTTTGTAAATACATTATAGCAAATAGGGCAGTAGTTTAAAGGAGAACTATGAGGTGAGTGCTTTTCACTCACCTCATAGTTCTTGCCGACCTGTGACAATGAGACTGTCACAGGTCGGCTTAGTAGATCGGGGGGTGAGCGAACACATACC